CTATAAAGCTGTAGAGTATCTTAAAAAATCAGCTGAACTAGGATATGCAGAGGCTGAATGTCTTTTAGCCAGTTGTTACAAATATGGAACAGGAGTTAAAATGAGTAATGAACTGTACGTTCAGTGGACATTACAAGCTGCAAATAATGGGAGTACCATTGCTATGTTTAATGTTGGGTGTTGGTATTATCTTGGAGAAAATTTTAAAATGAATAAGAAAGAAGCTGTAAAATGGTATTATAAAAGTGCTAAAGAAGGATGTGGAAAAGCTATGTGTAATTTAGGAAGATGTTATTTTGATGGTGAAGGGATTGAGTGTAATAAAAAGAAAGCGTTTAAATGGTTTAAAAGAAGTGCAAAGAAAGGTGTTGTTAGTGGACAGTTTAATTGTTCTAATTGTTATTATTATGGAGATGGAACTCAAAGAAATATTGATAAGGCAATGTACTGGAGTAAACTTGCTTCTATAAATGGGCATGCAAGAGCTTTTATTATATATGGGAAATGTTTATTATATTATTACCAATTTGAAGAAGCAAGAAGTGTGTTTGAAGAAGCATTAAGTTTAAATATTAAAGAGTCATATTGGTATCTTGGATTATTATATGAGTATGGAGTTGGTGGAATTCAAAACCAAAGTCTTGCTTTTAAATATTATCAAAATGGAGCAAATAAATTAAATTGTTGTAAAGAAAAAATTGCATTAACTTTGTTCCATAAAGAAAAAACATTATATTATTTAAAGGCTCTTAAGAAAAGGAGTTCACTAGTAGACCAAATAATTGGAAAAGAGTTGATAGATGGATCAACTGATTTTTGTCCAAGTGAAGGAACCTTTTTATTATTTCAAGCTGCTAAATGTGGAAATGAAAATGCTTTCAATTATTTACTTCAAACTACTGAAATGAAAGATGATAAAGTTATTGAAATTTTAAATAGTTTATACTATAGCTGTTTAAATGAAGAACAACCAAGTCAATATAATTTAGAGGATGTAAATTATAGTGAACTGTTATGATTAATTAATTAATTTATAAATATAATTATTGTATTATTTTGGTTATTACTAAAATTTGTACAGAATAAAGAAAACAATATGTTATTAATTTTAATTATTGTTATCAGTTAATACTTTATTTCTAATTTTAAGGAATTCTTAGAACCTTTTCAAAAAGAAAATATCAAATAATAGATGTATTCATAATTAGATTTTATGATTATTGAGAATTGATTGTTTCAGTTTCTTCAATATGTTCTATTTCTACAATAGAGTTCATTTCTAACATATGAGAATTAGAAGGTTCATCTTCTAATGTGTTGCCAGTGTTGAATATATAGAACATTAAGTATTTCATGTTTTTAATAATGATTATTCGTAATATTTTGTTGAAGTCAATTTGTAATTTTAGTGTTTTTAATCTTCTTACTGTTTCTTTATGTATCATTTTATTGATAATATTACAAGTATTATGTCTACATAAATTAGTTCTCTCCTTTATATTAACTTCTCTTGTAATTATTTGTAATTATTTATTTTGTAAATATAATTCAATTCTTTATTTCTATCTTGACATATATCAACATCATTAATATATCATTTTTTCTTTGATCTTTTGATAACATATATCTGGTATTCTAACATTAAAAGAATGGTCCACTAACCAATAAATCTTTATTGTAAGTTATAACCATTACATCATAACAATATATGACTAATAGATGCAATTGTGTTAGGACAATGTTTACAATATTTTAAAGCATCAACATGATAACGTTGATTGTTCTTTTAATCGTTCATGTAATTTATGACAGTTTCAATACAATTAATAGCATTATTTGAATATTTTGTTTTATTTCAATTTAATACAGGTAATACTCATCATTCAATTAAACTTATTTATATTTATTTGATTCGATTCTGATACTATTTGAATAATTATGATAACAACAAATAATTGAGAAATGTAGAATTGAATAAGAATGGTTTAGTCAATATATTTATTGTAGTGATATAAAATTGATCAATTGTCATATATATCATGTTCGTTTTATTCATACTAGGAATTCATTATTCACTTATTTTCAACAAACTCTAT